ATGCAAAATGGGAACCTTGGCATGGGAAATTTGGATTGAGCCATCCATGGGCAAAATATTTGGAGGTTGGAGATCATTTAAGTGAACTTGCTGCAACAATTTTTGCCTTAAAATTATGCCTTCAATCATCAAAGCAGGTATATAATCAAATCCATCAAATTCGATTTATACGGTTAACTCAATTTGGTCATGCAGTAGCAGTTTTTCGACAAAAATACATAAACGAGTCAAAATTGGTTTACACGATTAATATAATTTGGCCGAATATACTTTTTTACTTGAGAGTCAAAATCGGTTTATACAGTTAACTTAATTTGGTTATGCAATAATATATATATTTTTACGAAAATTGCGTATTTTTTGTGATGAAATGTCGTACTTATTTACAATAAATTTTCTTGATGACATTTTTACCCCTCTTATCTCAGCCATCACCCATGCAAAGGCAGATACTCAAGGAACCATGTGAGACTTTCATGCTAACAACTCAATGGATATTGAAAGAGCTTGGAGAGAGCATTGAAAAAATGGAGCTATGCAAAACCAAGTCTTTGATAAACCCAAAATTGCAATCTGCAAAATTACAATTGGGCCCTCCATTCTCCACTTGCTACAAGGCCCAAATTTCTGAAAATGATGAAAATCTTGCAATCACAACATTCAATTTCTTGTTGGTAGAGATTGTGGAGAAAGTTGAGATATTGGCTAAAAAAGTAGAAGAGTTAGGGGAAGCTGCTAATTTTAGAGTCAAGAAGATTGATGTATAGTAGTAATAACAAAAGCATTTGTACAAAATTTTAAAAATTATAAGTATTGTACCTATGAAAAATTTAGATAGCTCTCATAAATAACATTTTGAGAAATTATTATTAGTATAACTTACAACATAAGCAAATCAATTCAATAGTAACATTCCTTTTTTTTTTTTTTTCTGGTTGAAAATATTCGTAGCCACATTAAGATGTACTCACCAGCCACATGTCAAAATTTGATGACTTTGTAACACAATATCCATAATTTGTGGTATACTAATCTCATGTCACATCAGTTGGTGGACATATTAACTCGTGTCCATCGTGGGCAGGAAAACGATACTCTGGTAGTTTTTTTTTTAATACTAAGCCTAATGACTTGGAAAAAAGTTCTTTTACACGTTTACTACACTTTTTGAAAACTTTTGCAAAATACGACATTCAAAGTAAAAACATACCTAAAACTATTTATAAAACGAGCCATAAACTACAGAATGCAATTTAGAAACTAATAATAAAATAATCATAAATAAACAATTAATAATCAGTCAAAAGTAGTATATTTGTGATTAATTAAAAAGAAACTTCATAATTGTGCTAATAAAAATAAATTTATAGGTAATTTCTCTAAAATTTGAGATTCAAATATTTTTACATTTTAGGTGGACTTGTTTTGGCCCACTTCCAATGGGCTCAAAGGCCTAATCAACGTAGGCTGCATGAAAAAAAATCGACCAGTTGAATAAGGAAAAAGATATGGTTTAAATTAATTTGGTAAGGCTCAACTAATGACGCAATTAAGTTAATCTAGAAGAGTTATTTGGATGTTTTATAAGGCCAAATTTTTATTTAAAAAATTAAAATATAATAACAATGTTTCATCTAAAAGGGTGTCATATTTTTCTCTATAGATACACTTCCAGTTTAGATGTAGGTATGTTGGACATTTATCTGATAGTTGATTTAATTATAAAATTGGACTAATTGATTAGATTATAATATTATGTAAAGGATTTGATAAATAATTGGTTATTTTATGTGTAAAAACAGCTAATTTACAATCATCTATTCCAAAAATATTTTGTTCTGAATTATTTCGATATTAGTTTTTTTTGTATCCAAAAACTATCTTAAACAGCTGCTTCCCAAATAATTAAATTAAAGATTCGGGTCAAATTTCCAAATCACCCCAAAAACCTTTTAATTTTAACCCCAATACATTGATTAAGGCCGAGAGGCTGGATGGTCGCATGTAACGACCACTCCTTTGAGTGTGTGTATAATATCAAAGGTAAAAAAAATGATTTTAAAAAAAAAAAGCAATAGTCAATGACAAAGTAAACTGAAGAAAACTGAATTTTCTAACAGAACAAAATTGAATTACATTTTTTTTTTTACCATTTAATCAACACACACCCATGTGGATGTGTGCGTGAGTGTGTGTATAATATCAAAGGTAAAAAAAAAAATGGATAAGTCATTGACAAAAAAAGTGCAGAGCTGCAAAAAAACAGCTTCATTTCTGTATATATACATTCAAGCCATCAAAACCTATATATATGAATATTTCCAGTTAACTAAAAACCAAAACATTCCCCTCTAACTTTAATCACACATGAGAATAAATGTAAATCAACTCAATCTCCCTATAATGTAGCACTTTAATGTCCTCATAATGTGCCCAAATCGAACGATTTTGCACCTCCCGAATCTTCTATTTTATCGGCGTAACAAATATACTAGCGACGAATATCGCGCGTACAATGATTGGCATCATTCGACACACGCGACATTCGTCTCACGAATTAATAAAAATAAAAAATAAAATAAAATAAAAAATACAAGTAAATTACAAAAAAATTGCTCGTAAGACTTGTCTTCATCATAGAAAACAATTCTTCACATAAAAAAAAAAAAAAATCTTTTCCTTCCCTTTTAAACGTAAAAGAAATAAAAAAACCCAAATAAACCGAGCCTCGAGCAATTTTTTTGGGTAATTTACACTAAAAACGATATATAGCACGCGGAAGCCTTAGTAAAATCGATAGGTAAAAATTTCATTTTTTTTGTTTTTTTTGTTTTTTATAGTTTCAATACAAATCCCGAACCTCGAACAATCGCTCGTCTGAGGAAAACCGCGTAGAGGAGCTCGTTCCAAGAATCAGGAACTCCTGGAAGGCACCAATGGCTGCAGTCTTGGCGGCGTAGGGGTGCCGGGCCTTCCGTTGGCCCCAAATAATACAGCGAGGCGTGCCCGTCTTTCCTGTGAGACGTCATGCCTGTCACGTTTAACAATTCGATAGTTTTCTTTCGAATATGTTCGGATAAGCCATGCAAAACAGCTTTGTACTCTGAGTACGTTTCGGAGAGTTGCGATGGTTTGCTCAAGTTGGGTATCGTCTCGAGGTGACAGTTCCCGCCCGTTTTCCAGTCACCGCCACTGTGAAAAAAAAAAGGTGGCGGTAAATATTTTTTACGCGGTAAGTGTAAAAATGCGCCTAACGGTAACAACGAAATTATTTACTCGTTCTCTTGTTGTTTCTTTTCTGTGTTTTTCTTTTAAAAGTTCCAAGAATACCTGAAATGTACGGGAGCATAAGCTCGGAAGATCAAATGAGTCTTGGACAAGTTAACTTCACGGCTTATCCAGTCGGTCAAAGTCTTCATGGACCTCTGGAGGGCATTTTCGACACTCATCTTCATCTTTATCTCTGCCCCTTCTTGGAAATAACATCCCCTGATACAAAATTCAACGTATAAAGAATTTGAGGTTCGGTTTATTTTACTCGAAGAATAGCAACAGCGTAAAGATTTATCAAATTAAATTGAGCTCCTGATATTTTCCAACAAACTTTTATTTTTTAGCTGATTATGGGGTTTTCTGAGTGAGATGTGAGATTCATTTATGCTACTTTTGTGGACATTTGCTTAACATAAACTGAAAAGTGTAGCACACTATATTGAAGGTGAACAAAGACAATGCTGAAACATTTTTAAGCCCCATAAGTTCATGAATAGATAATAATGCTGAAACATATACAGTCTACTTATCTGCTATGATGAAATAAACGGCTAAACGCAATTCAGCTCAGTCCATAATGCAAAATCGAATTCAAGAATTCAAAATGACACACTATCTAACATGCCCGGTTAACAGAATTTCTTCACAGAAGTGCAAAATCTAGTTTTTCTTTCTTCTCCTTTATTTCAGCCTTCAAGCTACTTTTCTTATTTATAAAGACATTATCACACAAACTTATATAATTACATCCTCTAAGACACATATCAATTAAATAATTTCACATTTAGTAAAAACTATAGGTAAGAACCATTTTAAAAAATAATGAACATTAACTCAGCCAGAAAAAAAAAGGATAAAAAAAATCATACACGTTAGTCGTTTTCTCTGGATTCCACCAATGCCCCGTGTTGAAAACCAGCAAATCCGCACCTTTCCACTGAACCGAGCTCCAGTCCATTTTATCGAGCTTTATAGTCATCTTCACACTCTTGGGAGCCCCAACAGGCGCTCGGCTCTGCAACACAAGAAATGGAGCTCGATAATATTCGACAGTGCAGTTGAAGTCTCTGAACTTGAAAATCAGAGAGCCCGTGTGCTTCGTGATAGGATTCCCGTTCACTTCGTATATTGAAGTTTTATTGGTAATGACAGAAGATAGCATGCAAAGAAGGGATTCCCATTGGTTTCGCCCGATAGAATCTCCCACAAACACGAGCCGCTTGTCTCTTAGATTTTCCAGCATAATTTTTGCATCAAATCTGGTACAGAACAACAATTCGTGTGATTATTAATCAAAACAGTCCAATCATTTTTGTACTGATAAAGCTAAAATGTGTGATTATCATCAATCCCACAAGCAGCTTTCGTGATCTTTAGTTTTTTTATCACACACAACAACACTCATAATCAACTTCAACAGCAATGAGGAAAACCGAAAGAATTTTTTCGCACTAAACAGGGCTTTGGCAATGAGACTTTCACTACAACACAAGGCCTAACTAGAAATCCTTTAGCTAATTATGAGCTAGTTTTCAAAATTTTGCTCCTTTTCCAAGAAAATGGGAAATGCTACAGTCCCGTTGCGGAACCATTCCGTCAGAGTTTGTAACTGTTAGATAATCTTGTAACCGTTAGACATAGTTGATCAAACGGTTACAAACCTCAACAGAATGGTTCCGTAACGAGACCGTAGCATCTTCCCCAAGAAAGTAGTATATCTGTTATTCACATTGACAAAAACAAACCTTGCAAGAAATACCAAATTCTCCCATTATGAGCTACTACTAAATCATCATCCCAGCAAAGAAAAAACCATTCTCCTAAAAATTAGGGTCCCTAATCCCACACAAAATCCATGTCACAAGTCACAACCCAACCAATCAGACCCATTTTTTTTTTTCCCTGATAGCCACACCTAACAATTTAGACTCATGAAAATTTCAATTTCATAGCATAATCAAACCAACATACCACACCAAAATAATTTTTTTTAAAAAAAATAATAATCTTAAAAAAAATAAAATAATAATAATAATAACAACAACCTGGGCAAATTGCAATCTTTAGGCTGCCAGCGCCACTTGGTGTAGAATTTATCAGGCCTCCCATTTTCAGTGCACCTAAAACCCTCGTCCAGTAACGCGCAATCCTGCGATTGGTAAAGAGGATAACTTTCATCCCAAACCCAATCCCCATCAAATATATCACAATACCCACCACCCCTTTCAAGAAAACCCACTTTCGATGATTTTAGAGCAGAGCTATTTGACCTAAACCAAGGCACTGAAAACAGCTGGCCCTGCAAGCCAGCCAATATTCTGTAATCCAGCACAAAAAGGGCAAGGATTACGCAGAGGCTGAAGAAAAAGCACCCAAGAACACCAGGGTTAGCAGCCTCCTGAGCCTTCAAGAGCTTAAATTTCTTGAAAAATTCCATGTGGGACATTCTCCTCTTTCTTTTTTTTTTTTTTTTCAAGAATCTTGTAAAGATTTGCTGTTTTTCTAGCTCATCCCTAACTTTGGGCAACTGGGCTCCGACTAAACGGGGACAGAAAGTCAGAAACAACTTCGAATCTCAAAAAAGGTTTCACCTTGAACGGCGAGTATTGATTTTCTTTGCTTTTTCTTTTCTTTTCAATCTCCCTCTCCCTCTCTCTCTCTCTCTCTCTCTCTCTCTCTCTCTCTGTGTGTGTGTGTTTATGTTACAGTGTTTATGAAGAGAAAGAAAACAAGAAAGAAACCGATGAAACGTGGACCCATGGCATTGAAAACGGGATTTGAATGGGGAAATGTTCAGACTCTGCTTTTACATCAAATTTCGAAAACAATAGAATAAGATAAGAGAGGCGTTTGAGAGAGAGAGAGGGCGAATGGGAAAGGAGATAGGACAGAGTTAGAAGATGAGAAGGTGGGTCCAAGTTTTACAATGGCAGACAGTACACATTCACGGCAAAAGCGGTTCTTTTTTACTTTATAGTGCATTCCATAAAACTAGACGTGGCCAATTGCCGGGTCCCCGGTCGGTTCACCTATCCGGCGGTTCACGGGCAGTGCAGCCCTTAAAAAAAATAACTTGTGGCCCGTCGTCTGACCAGCGGCCCGACCAGGCCCGGGCCTGTTGGACCCCAAAAAAAAAAAAAAAAAATTGAACCGGGATCGAAATGCGATCCTAAAGGTCCGGTTCAATGAACTGGCCCTTATGAGGCCGGTTCACGGGCCGGTTCGGCCCGTGGACATGTCTAATAAAACTCCCATTTGACTTTTGCCACGCATTTTGTAACCTTATTTTTGCCCTTTGAGTTTTTCTCCATTGTTCATGGAAAAAAAAAAGTATAAAATTTAATAATTCTAGTGTACGAAGAAGAAAGGATCTAGAAATTTGCATTGAGTTTAATATGTGGTTTTTGGGTTTGTATCATTTCATTATTTGAACTTGACGAAGTAATAATAATGTTATATGGAACGTGTTTTGGGTGCAAATATAGTTCTAAAAATGATTGTTGTCAGTCAGAAATAAAAAAGGGATTTAATTTGTGCGTTTAGGTTTTAAATTGTTGTTAGTAGTATAATATTATTTTGAAAGTTGAAATATGTATTGAATTTAATAGCAATTGACTAAGTATTGGCCTCAAAATTCCACTGTTTCAAACCTTTTTTTTATTCCACGTTTTATCATTATGTGTTAAAATGTCACAAGAATTGAAGCATTGCTTTAGGAATTAAATACTTTTTTCCCTACAAAATATTCCAAATAGCAAGACATGGAAGAAAACCGATTGAGATTTATTCTCTCTTGCCATTTTCATTATCACGCAAAGTACAATTGAGAAGCTCCCTTCAATACTCATGATAATAAAAACTAGGGTAAATAATTTTTTTTCAACCTGTACTATTTGCATGTTCGACCACATCTTCACCATACACATGTCTTTTTTGACAGATGATTGGACGGTTAAAAAGTAGTCGAGCGTGCAAATAATTTTATATATATAGTTCATGTTGCATTTTACAACATAAAAAACTTTAGATTGAAAAATTAAAAAACACGTACAAATTGGAAAAAAATATTTACCCTAAAAACTACAATTGATCTTTTGGTTAATACAAGACAATATCTCATATATCAGACCAAATTGTATTATTCTTTTTTTTTTTTTTATCGGTTCGTATCATTCATTTCATTTCATTGAGAATTGAAATTTGGTAGGTCGAAAATTTAAATCAATGAAGCAATGAACTCCCACGGTTTTTAACTTACCCAATGATTATCTATTCTATTTATTTATTATTATTATTATTTTATTTTTTTATTTTTTTCTCGGTATGAACTCCAAAAACGTGGGCACAAAAGTTGGCCCAAAGTGCCGAGTCAAGAGACGCGTGGGCCTGTGGGCATTGTGGGGCTTTGAGTTGGTTATACAGACATCCGTCTGCTAAATCACGTATTGCTCTGCTAATGTCAAATTTGTGGGTACGTTAAGTTAGCAAATCAAGAGATTAGTTTTATTACTATTATAATTTTATTCATTTCATTTTCACAATTTTCGACTTCCAACCAAAATTATAATTTTATTCATTTTATATTCACAATTTTCAACTTTTTTTTTTTTGGTACAGGAACCTTCCGGTTTCTGGATCCACAAGGGAACCGATTAATACGGAATCGAGCCGGGTAGGACCACAAGGACGGCAAAGCTCTCCCTCAATAGTTTTTAACACTGCTGCATTCCCAGGGCTCGGACACGAGACCACTAGTTAAGTTGGAAGAAACCCAAACCATCTCATCTAAGCGCTCTTGGTACAATTTTTGACTTTTAAACAAAATAAATTCAACGTAGTACCATTCTAATTTCTTAAAAGGTTTTGAGCTTGACGGTTATACTAGTTATTTGCCCATAACTCTCAACAAATACACTGTAAATACTAGTTATTTGCCCGTAACTCTCAACAAATACACTGTAAATACCTCCTCTCCGGTTCAGATCAGATGAAGTTTTAGAATTATGTAAGAAAACAATGAAATCGAGGAAAATGACCATTTTAATCTTTATGTATCAGTAGGGAATAGGAATGCAAATTAAACGAGAAACTCACAGAGCAGGAGCTTGTTTCGAGGATCACCTTGAACTCGAATTATAACCGAACTCAAGTCTATATGGTATAAGCTCGAGTGTTCGATGAATAGAAAAAAAATTATCGAAATTCATCTCAAACTTGAGCAGGATTCAAGCTAATGAAATTTGAGTGGATTAAATTCCAGGCAATCTTTAGTATTTGTATATTTTGTTTTTGAGTTGAGTCAAACCTATAATAAGGTTGAGTTCAAGCAGGAATTTGAGCTCGATTAGATAACGCCAATGCCCGAGACTCAGCTCACTGCTCAGGTCTTTTGCAGCCCTATTCATTTGTAATGGATGAGCTCACATTGCTTAGATAGTCATAAAATTTGTAAAATATAAATATTTAAAATTTTTGGTAAATTAATGAGACTAAGAGAGTTGAATAATCACTCTATGACGGGCAAAATGTGAAATATATAATTAAAAAAAAAAGCTCAAGCTATAGATGATTTGGTAGCAAAAGATAATTTAGTAATCTTCGGTTCGCTGAACTTATACCCCAAACATTGTTGAGCCCCACAAATATACATTGGATTTTACCAATAATGTACCTAAGCACCAGTCCAAAAGACTCTTGCTAATTGCACACACTTAAATTTTTGCCCACACATATATAAACAATTATGGATACTACCAATAATGTAACTAGTCACCGGTCAAAAAGACTCATGCTAATTGCACATTTTAATGGAGAATTCGACTCAAAGTCATATATTATCTTTAAGGTAGATTTTACGGTCCCATTACAAAACCATCCATCGGGGTTTGTAACGTTAAATCAACTATCCACGACGGTTACATGATGATCTAACGGTTGCAAATCTCGAGGGAATGGTTCCATAACGAGACTGTGAATTTCCCTATCTTTAATATTAGTCATGGCCAAGGGCCGCCCGGCCCGGTCAAACCCGTTGACCACAGGTCCAGGCCCGGACCGGATTTCCGAAGGGTCGTGTTAGGGTCATCGGTTTCATGACCCGGCCAGACTGGTCGGGTCCGGGCCAGGTCTATGACTCGCTTTTTTATTTTATTTTATATTTTTCTATCGCTTTTTAAAAAATGGCGGACCGGCCCGGACACCACCCGGCAGGAGTATAGGTCCATGCCGGGTCCGGATCATTGTTTTCGAGCCCGGAGACCCGACCCAGATTTTGCCCAGTCTTTAATATGCTAATTTTTATAGAAATGTTCTCTTATCTAAACCTAGATTATTTGAAGTAGTTTTCTTACGTATCATACACAGTTTGCAATTATAAATCCCTCCCTATATATTAATTCAAACCCTATATATTAGTTCAAAACGTGTTGAACCTAAGTGGTAAATTCTCACGCTTCGGATGTTGACGTGGCAAAAATCTATGCTTCGTGATATTGTTTTATATTATTTTTACTCTGGAATTAAGTTTGGTACTATTATACATAAATAATTTTACACATATATTCATTAACTCAACACTTCGTAGATGAGAATTAGCACTAGTAAATTGTGAAAACTGGAAGTTTGCTGGTAGGAACAATATAGTCTACTGACAAAAATCATTATTAAGATATATATTAGAAAGTGGTTGACAATAAATCAATGGGACAGGAAAGGATATAAACATTCCAACGCTCACGTTTCAGATTTTGATTCGACAATCAGGGCCATCTAAATCTTTCCCATTTAAAAAATAAATAAAACTAATTGGACAATATCATCATTTAAAAAAAAAAATAAAATAAAATACCAAACAAGAAAATTTGGGTAATATCTGTAATTTAATTTGATAAACACATGGGGCTATATTGTAATTAACAAGAGTAAAACATCACCAAAAGCCAAAGCTATTTAGCTATGGACACGTAGATAACCATAACACATCATCATAGAAATATGACCCATCATATATAATGTGACCGTATTCCATTAGCAAAAGGTAAAAGGATTTGACTAAATGATTGAGAATCATCAAAATTGCACTGACCTGTACGTGCTGGGCCTGCTGGGCTGTAAACATTTGACATTTCAGAGATTTTTGGGCCACAAATCCTTCAATGTAGATATTAAGACAGCAAAGTACTAATAACAAAATAAGACAGAAAAATACTTAGCGTCCTCTGCCACGTCCACGACCGCGCCCACGACCCCTGCCACGCCCAACGGGTTTCCCTGAATTACAAAGAACGTAGTTACTTTTAGGCCTGTACACGAGTCAAGCCGAGCTCGAGCTCTTAACGAGTTGAGCCGAGCTTGGCTCGTTAAATAAACGAGCCAGAAATCGAGCTCGAGCTCGGCTCATCTCAGTTGTCACTACTAACGAGCAGAGTTCGAGTCTTAAAAAAATTATATAAAAATTCTCATTCTCGAGCGTTAAGGAGCCTTATCGAGTTGAGTCAAACTCGGCTCGTTTAAATTTAACAGGTTACTTTACAAAATTACCAATATTAAGTGTCTCTTTGCGTGAGTAACCTTTTATAATTGTAAAAACAAAGCCTAAAGGCGAAATGAAATCATACCTGCAGTTGGCTTCTTGGGCTTAACTTTAGGCGTTTCCTCAACTAGCAATGTTTCAAGATTCAAGCTGTCGGGAAGTATGTAGTATCGGATATTATTACCCCTAACACTAAGGTGATCCATAGCAACTGGATTTTTCCCCTTCAGAGTAAGCTTCACAGTCTTCAGATGTGTATTCATGCTGATGTCAACACCTACGAGAAGCAAATGGTCGACAAATTACAGTTTTAGATGGAAGCATATTTTTAGAACCTCATCATTGTGAAACAAACCTCAACAATGTGAAACAATGGTGTCGCCATTAAAATCCCTCAATGTATGTTCGTAAAATCAACTGAGAGACGAGCAATTTCTAGTAAAACTAGAAATCTAGAATGCAACTGGATTACTACAAATTAAGAGTTCCGCCATGTAAAATCGAGAAGTGAATCACTAAATCGAACAGGAAACAGCTGCACGATTAAATCTGAAGATGCATTTTGGTTGGGAACTAGAAATTCAAACCTTTATATGGCTGCCATAAACCGGAGCAAAGGACAAATCGGCCAATCATATTTTTTTCAACAACAATGCATACTTAATTACTTATATTCATTAAAAGGCCATATGCCATAGAATCAGTACAACACCACAATGCAAAAACCGAAAAGGAAAATGAAAATAATCAGCAACATAAAACAACCGGCAAAGGTAAATCATCAACGAGTTGCCGGAAAAAAAGAGACGAACCAGTAATGGTGCCGTGAACTACGGTGCCGTTTTTGAGCTCAATTGATACAGTCTCGTTGTTCAATTTCATCAGAAATCTGCACAAAATTAAATTAAGAAAATCAAGCAACCACAAAATTTACTTCCGACTGTATGAGAAATCAAATTAGAAAAATCCAAATGAAGCAAAAAAGTACGAAGATGGTGAACGAAGACGAAACCTGACTAGCTTCATTGTTGTCGCGATTGAAATTCAACGAGAACTTAGGGTTTTGAACGAGAACGAAGAGTCTCTACTCTGTACAGAGCGGGAGGTTTTAGCGAAAGTGTACTATGCAGGACTTTTTTTATATCTGCCCATGGTAAATATGCAATGGGCCTGTTACTGGGCCTATTAGTGGTCGTGCCTCACTGAACCTTGTAATTATTAATGGGCTGAGTGGAGTCCAACAATAAACAACATATTTACCATCATTAAGGAAATCTTAAATAGTAAACAAGTTTTTTTTCTTTTCAAACGATAATTATATTAATAACTGGAAAACTAAAAAAGAGTACAAATGAAGTGTCAAACGACACACTGGAACCAGAAGACTGGACCAACCCTCTTGTTATCATACACAAAGGGGTACAAACTTCATCAAGGAGGCAAACAATCACAAAACAGAACTCCAAAAAGAGACTACAAGCAGACAAGCTGCACTGAAAGCAGACAAATCTGCACTAAACGAACTAAAACACCAAAATAAAAACAAAAAGCAAATCACACCAAATATATAAATAGAATAGGATAAGACCTCCCCTAAACCTATCGGACAACCGAACCCACTCTCAAACCTACAACCAAAAACAT